GGCTCAGAACCCGATGACAATGCAATACGAAAGATGAGTTGAGCCGATAGGTGGTGCAGGAATCGAGATATTTCATATTTAGAACGTATATTAATTATATGTAAAGGAATAATAATAAAGGAATAACGATAGGTGGCGCACGAGTCGATATATTTGGTAAACCAGTATTTATCGTCCGATTTCGTTCATATTTAGAAAGCGTGATTCAAAATTATTTGTTTTTTCAATTAACTTATTTATACATATGGAAGAAAATGGGTAACACTCTCGGCAAAAAATTCTCAAAAATCAACTACTGCTTAATCGTGTAAACACGTAGGAATGTCAAATTGGTTGTTCTATTAATAACGTTCACACTGTTTTTCAACATGATCGATGGTCGGTGTAGTGATAGACAAGACAGCCTTCATATCAGACATTTCTTCTCAGCTCGAGCCTCTTCTTGATGTTATCTGTACCTCGCAATCACTGCTAATTTTTTTTTTAATTATGATCGACCCTCTCGATTATTAATAAAAAAAGAAAATTGTTGTCTGCGTATTTCGCCATGATTTCAAAAAGAGGGCACATATGTACATATATAATTTGTAAGTGTGCTTTTATTAATTATTAAAAATTTTATAGTAATAGCGCTGAATAGGCCATTCCAAAGATATGCATATACATATGTACATATGTATGTATGTGCTTGCACAGTTCTTCTCAAAAAATGTTCTTCCAAGTAAGTTGTATTATTCGCCACTTTTCGGAAGTGTAAATAAAAGCAGGTGTTCGTTTCCGTTCCAACTGATACACACTGATGCGTGACTCAAACAACCAATTCTTGTAAGATGTTCAAATAAATAATTTCGCATGCAAAAAAAAATTTAGAGCAGCAAATAAAAGTGAACAAGCGGAAACCAAACATTTGGGCTTGACTGGTACTTGTACTTAAAGAAAGTACTGTACTGTATACTTGTTACACATTAGTGTGCAGTTATAAGACCGTGCGACAAAAACCAAAAAAAAAATTCAAAATACACGAAACAGTCAATATACTTGCGAAACAATAAGCCAAATATAGTGAAACTTAATTCTCTCTGACGTCAGGATATTTTTTTTTGTTAACTTTGAAATTTCAATGATATGATTAATTAGAAAAATTATTTAAGAAATTCCGTGTGCAATGTAAAATAACAATATGGGTCCAAATGAAAGAGCGAAATCTGTAAAATTTAAAATATAGAGTGTTTTGGTTCACAAGGACGAACAGTTGGAAATACCGTTTTAAAAAAATTTATTTTTTTAAGACAATAAATTTAGAAGCCGAAATTTTAGGTTGTACTTAATGGGGTGTTTATTAGTCCTCAACGTATAATTTTTTTTTTATACCCGAGCGCACTTGTGCACAAGGGTATTATAACTTTGTTCACATAACGGTTGTTTGTAACAGGCAAAACGAATCGAGATAGATATAGACAAATGTATACATAAATGGTCAGAATGAAAAGAGAAATCGATTAAGCGGTGACTGTCTGTCCGTCCGTCCGTCTGTGCACACGATAACTCGAGTAAAAATTGAGATATCTTAACGAAACTTGGTACGTGAACTTCTTTTGGGCGTGGGACGGATGGTATTGAAAATGGGCGAAATCGGAGCTTAACCACGCCCACTTCCCATATAACGGTAATTTTAAGAAATACGAAAACTGCGATATTTTAGTAACTACTGAAGACAATTCACTCAAAATTGATACTTACAATGAGTTTCACACGGAAAACACGAGTATTATAAATTTTTGGAAAATGGGCGTAGCCACGCCCACTTATGGTTACATGTGTATATCTTGGTAACCGCTGCACCAATTTCTTCCAAACTTGGCACAGTTGTTGGCCTTAGTACAGCATACTAAATGGCTGAAAATTTTAAAAAATCGGACAATAACCACGCCTACCTCCCATATAACGGTAATTTTCAGATATGCTTGAAATTTCAATATTTCGAAATTTAAGGACACTAATTTACTTAAAATGTATACACCCCGGCTTATCATGTAGCGGTAGCTTTCGGAAAGGTGGAAAACATATATTTAATACTTGCGCCGGGTATTTAATGTTCGGCTCCGCCCGAACTTAGACTTTCTTACTTGTTAAATATACATATATTGCGAATTTTCAAGGACATTCGGATAAAATTGTTTGCACCAAAAAATTTTAACATATATAATTCTACAGAATTTTCTCTTTTATTTGTTACCCATACTGTTATTCTACATTGCACTGAAATTTTTAAATTATTTTTTGAATTAATTATAAATTTGAAATTTCAAAATCCTTAAAAAAATCCTGACGTCCTTGGTTTCACGTTTTTTTTGTTGTTTTTTTTTGTGTAAAATTCACTGTCGCACGGTTCCTTAAATAAAATTTCTTAAATAATTTTTTAAATTAATCATACCTTTGAAATTTCATAGTCCTTAAAAAAAATATCCTGACGTTAGAGAAAAAACCTAAAAACGCGTTTTACTAATTTTTGGTCCCCAGTTTCGCTGAAATATTGTTTTTTTTTTTTTATGTAAAATTGACAGTCGCACGGTGTAATTATAAAAAAGTATACATATATCTATGGTTCACATAAAAAGTACGGTTATTTTCTTGAAAATTCAGTAAAAACGTTAACTTTTAAAAGATGAATCGCGTTTATTGAAAGTCAATATGGCTGACGAAGTTTTTGAAAAATGTTTGGATATACATGCAATTTGTTACTCGGGGGTCACTAATTACGAAGTTAATCATAAATTTTTTCAAATTCCAAATGGCAGATCCAATACGGCGATTTCATTACATTTTTCCGTCATGTTCGATCCGCCATATTTAATTTTGCAAATTCATGGTCACATTCATAACAAGCGACCCCAAAAATCACCGGGTAATAAGTTTGAAGCGAATTCAAAACTTTTTCGGCATATTATATACGCCATATGTATTGGATTTCAAAAAAAGGCCAATCATCATTTAAAAGTATGTAAACATTTTTACCGAATTTTCAAGAATATAACCGATTTTTTTACTCAAACCAATTTTGGGAAGAGAGGGCTTCAGTTGAAGAAGAATGCCTCATATTTTTATTATTGAGCCTGCTTTTCATAGAAAAAATAATTTAAATGAGTGTTGTGGTGCTAAATTTAACGAGTTTACTGTAAAACGTGCCTTGAAGCACGTGTGCCACAAATGACGCGGACTTTACGAGAAAGAAAATGGTTAGAATACTGGGATCGCCAGTGATGAGTAATGTGCTTGAAAGCCGCCTTTGTATGCCTGTCACGTACATACATAGTAGAAATTTTGGTATGTGTAGGTTTTAGCCTGAACGGTAAGCTTGACTCGCATAGAGTAGCATTATTTCAACCTTTTCCCACTAACATGCTTTGAGGCGAAATGCTTCTATTCATAGACGCATGTAAATCTCCGCGATTTCTACATAATTCAATTGTTGCCTAAAACGTGGCCTTTCAATTATGGCTAACACGATCACTCATCGAAATTCGCCTTAGCGCAAGTATTGAAATTGATTTTGTATTTACATTTGTTGTGGCGTCATTACCTTGCTCCAGCTTCAAAGACTGCTGCAATGCCAATGTTAAACGAACAATCCAATCGATCGACCGGCTGATCGCTGGAAAATTGGTTTGCATGGCAAGCGCGCGCGGGTATAGGGTAGGTGAGAAGCCGGGTTGGCAGCAGAATTTACATACATAAATTGCCGTGCAACGGCGAAATTTTCAGTTCAACGCTGGCAAGCAGTGCGTGAGCAACAACGCAAAACTTTGCAGAGCAAAAAACTGATAATTATCAAAATTTTAAATCGTTTTTGCGAACTTATTGCAAAATCAAAATTATCTACCAAAAAAAAGTTCTGAATTTCAAAAAATTAAGTATTTTAATTCTTGTAGCAGCTAAAAACACTTGGAACTATGCACGAGTCGAATTTGCATGAAACTATAAAAACCGCTGGTGAAATCAAAGCATTGTGCAAAAATTCAGAAACAATTGAAGAGCAAGAAGATTCTAAAAAATTACAAACTTATTATAAAAACTCTAAAATAAAAGAAATAAAACAATTACATACAAAAACCAAAGAGCAAAGTCAAGAAACAAATCAGCAAAACCAAATTAATAGAGAACAAACAGCAGAAACCAATCTTAAAAATTGTGAAACAGTTTCCGAAACGCAACAGAACCAATATACCAACTCTAATAAACAAAGTTACTTCCAAAAGAATTTAAATATCCACCAAGAAAAACCAAAAACCAAACAAACAAACCAAAAAATCATCCAACAAAATCAAACTCCCTCGGCCCGCTACCAGAAACACCTCCAATCACAACAACCAAAACCAAGCAGCATCAGCAAAATGGTCGAGCGTTTCGTCGAGTCACTCAGTCACATCAACGACTCTGGCGCCTTCGATGCCAGCTTCGAGATCAAGCGCATCCCCGAGACACCCCAGCAGGTGTTGCGCCATCGTTGTGTAACCGAGCTGGATCGTGAATGCCTTGCGCGCTTTGTGCGCGACTTTGAAGCGCGTCACAGCGCGCAGCAGCCGGAGCAACAGCTGCAAACAGAACGCTCGTGTCGACGCAACAGCAGCAGCGCGCGCAGCCTAACACCCAAAGGTTCGCCCTACCTATGCCGAAAGGCAAAGGAGTTCTATCAGAATGTCTTCAACAATGGCACTCCAAGCGCGCAGAGCAGTCGCAGTAGTTCACCGCGCGCGCCACAAATATCCTGCCGCGCCAGCACGCCCGACAATCAGTCCACACACTCTGATCTTGGCTACGCTGAAGGTCAAGCGCATTTAGATGAACTGCATACAGATTGTAGCCGCTTTCAACGTTCGCAGTCCGAACGCTCCAGCTACCGTTCGGCTGTCAAAGTGTTGCAATTCTTCTCGGGCAAAAAGAAGTGCAAGTCAAAGCAAGCGGTAGGTGTTGCAAGTGGAGCCGCCGCCGCCGACACACGCAGCGTGACAGCTTCGCCGCAGCCGTTGCGCGCAACTACGCTCGGTTGTCAACCGTTGCCACATTCTGACTCTGATGTGGAAGACAACATTGAGGACGTCGCATACTATTTGGATGGCGCGCAGGCTAAACGTGATGGAGTCGTTGATTTCGTGGTGGAGGAAGCGGAAGATGAGCACGACGACGGCATCTCTTCGGCCAGTTCGAATATCACACAAACCAGCAGCAGTCGCAACTATTCGCCTGATTCCTCATTTGAGTTGCATTCGCCGCTATTGCCAATATTCAAGGTGACACCGCCACAGCACAACAAAGGCAGCCGCAGCAATCCCGCTTATGAGTTTGCGCGCTTTCTACGCGGCTCCTTCCACGCCAAGCGCGCATCGGTGACAAAATTGCGGCGTTCCATCAGCGACCCAGACACATTTCAACACGTCGATTTTACGCTACCCCCACCGCCGCCGAGTGAGCGCAAGAAGAGCATTGGCGGAAAGCACGTAAACAGCGTGAAGTCCAAGCAAGCGGCGGTGAGAGGTGCTGCCGGAGCGATGAACCCGTCGTCAGCAAATGTCATATGCGTGAGTCACATCTAACCACTACATACTTTACTTCTGCACACAACCTCACCCACTTCTCACAGCCCCAACTTGAATGATAACTTCCTTCCAAGCACTGGCTCTACATATATGCATGCCAAATAAAATATTTGTAGTCTACAAAATTTAAGGTTTTCTCAAAATTATTCGTTTGTTATCAACTAAAATAAGTAACAACACCAAAAAGTGGCACTTTCCGCATATATATTAAGTTATTGCCACTTAACACTTTCCTCAGCAAAAAGGTATTATTTTTTTTGTAATTTTTTTTTGTTATTTGGAAATTATAATGCTCATTCATGAATTTCAATGAGGTGAGGAGCTACCTCCCAAATATTATTATATAAAATTAACTTAAGTCTAATATTTTTGGCATGCGGCACATCAATCCACCTGCAGATATTTGGCTGTAGCTGCGCATTGCGTGCCATTGGGTTTTTTTTCATTCATACAAATTCACCGGAAAAAGTATTATTTTAATTTTAACAACAACAAGGTAGACACTATAAATTAAATTATAAATGTACGTTTTTGTGTGTGTGTTAATTTTAGGAAATTGTTAGAAATTTAAGTGATTGGCTGAAATAGATAAAGCAAGTTGGAAATATCCAATTTAGCAATAAATCATACTCGTATATCTAAATAAACAACGTGCGAAATTGTTAAAAAAATGCAACAGCTGTTCTTCATTCGGGCAATTATTTATTTGAAATTCGTTGGAAATTTCTTCTTGATATTTTTAGATAAGCACCTGCAATGGATTTGCATGAACTGCCTAGAAGTATGCCAAGTTTCACATGGTTGGTTGAAGGAGCGAGAATAACAACTGCAATGAGCACTAGGTTACCCCACGTCTCCGCCTTCTACAGATTCTGTTAAAAATGCTATGGACAAAAATGTCAGATGAAGACCGCAAATTTTCACTGTTAAACCATATCTGTCTTGCCGAATTTCTTACCATCGCTGTCTAAACATCAGCTGTCATTTCGTAGTTTGACAACTCAGTTTTCATTTTACCGCGCCATCTACTTTGGGTACAGACCGATCTGATTGGCTTGATGCCATTTTGAAAGTGATATGTTAAGACAGCAAGTTGCCCACATGAGAAAACGGGACGAACAGAAATTTTACAGATGTTAAGACACATTTATCGGCTGCTGACGAAAGCTGTGCACGCTGCAAAAGTTCTATTTTCGTATGTCAAATGATAGCAAATTTTATTCAACTGACTAAATTGTAATTTTTGTTTACATTTTCCTCTACAACTTAAGATTTTGTTTACCCATTACTCAACAGTTTTGCCGGTAAAAATAAATGTATGAAGAAAAAAAAAATTATTTTTGCCTAAAAATTAAAATTATGTGACTTTGCGTGAAAGTAATACGACTTGCCTTTTTTCCGTTTTGGATTTTTTATGAATTTAAAAAATAAAAAAATTTAATATTTTAGGCAAAAAATATTTTTTTTCTTCATACATTTATTTTTACCGGCAAAACTGTTGATTATATAGAAAAACGTTATATGAACAGATTAAAGGAATTGTAATTCTTAATTTTAATTTGTTTGAAACGCCGGGACACGTATAACCTCTTTTTTACCGATATAACTTTCCCCGGTAGTTTGAACCCTTCCCGATCACTGACCCCTACCATTTGTCTCACAGTGTTATCTATTGTTTCTTTGTAAATTTTTGTCACGATATGAAAAAGGACACTCGAACTAATGAACTGTCACAATTTCTGATAGAAAGTGTCATAAAAGTTGTAGCTACGCGTTTCTACAACATTCGCAATGGCCAAGTGGCGTCCCATTCAAGAGACCCGAGGTTCGAGTCCTTAGAAGTCGGATTTTTTTTTAACTTTGTATTCATATTTTTTTTATTTTCTATTAGTTTTTAAATTTAATTGTTTTAAAAAGAATAATTTTTTTTTCATCTAATTTTTAGAAGTTTATTTAATTATTTTTTTTTTTAATAAACGTTTTTTAATTTCATTTAATTTTTAGAAACTAATATTTTTTCTTTCTTTTAAAGCATTTTTTATTATTTATTTTTATTTTTAGGAATTCAACTTATCTTTTTATTTTGTTTATTATTTTCTTTTTTAAATGAAATTTTTATATTTTCTTGTTTTCAAAAGAAAAATATTTTTTTAATTGCGTTGAATTTTTAGAAACATGTTTACTTTTTTCTTTATTAAATTTTTTCTTTTTTAATTCAATTTGTTTAAATTTAACATAATATCATTTAATTTTTAGAAACTTATTTTAATAATTTATTTTAATTTAACTTTCTTTTATTTTAATTTAATTTTAGTTTATATTTTGCTTTTATTGTTGTAAACAGAAAAATATCTATACATTTTATTTTCATTCACTTTTTAGAGAACTCATTGCAAAAAGACAAACAGAAAAAAACTTTCAAAATAGTTGCCAGAATTGAAAATTGTTTTGCGAAAGACTTTTGTGGTTCGAAAAACTTTGATGAGTTGAAAAACAGTTGCTAGGATTGCCCTGTAAGGTGGTTACCTTGACAAGGCCACGCTGAACTCTGAGCGAAATTTCGCAGGCGGCAATATTTGGCCCCGGAGTGCTCCTCTGGGCCGATTAGATAGAGCGATCTCAGGTGTCCAAACTGCCGTCTAGAAAAAGCTGGGTAGTCTAAGAACAAGTGTCGAGGTGATTCCATCTCGTAGTCCTCCATGCTGCGGCAAAACCGAAGATCCGTTGTGACGTTTAGTCTTACTACGTGAATCTCAAAGGGACAGTGTAGTGTCAATACACCCTTCAGAATTGAAAACTATGAATTTGAGGGTCTAAGGTGATCGCTAGACTGCCTCAGTTCACCCTCGACCAGAAAGACGTTGCGGTAGCACATGCTCTTGCCATCACCCAGCGCTTGCTGAGTTTACACAAGGTTCATTTCCCCAAGAGATGTCTATAAGTTCATACTTGGAGAGACTGGATGGAAGGTACCACTTTTGACCAACTCATTAGCCATGCAGTTTTCTGTGATATCACTATGGCCTATCACCCATTAAAGTCGGAAAAGGTAATACTCCGACGCGACCGAAAGAGAAGTCATTTAGCAATGATATTATGACCGAGTTAGCTTCGAAAATTATCTTAAATACCAAGTCTGTCTTCTGTCATCCACATTTTGGTTTTGCGCCAAGAAGAGATGGGTTCAATACTGGACAAACACCTTCCAATTTCTGATGTACTTTGCAGCACTCAAGTGAGACGTCTTGGGTCGTTTTAGATGACAGCAAATATAGGCTGCTGCGCAAAAGAAAATAAAATCTTTTTTTTTCAATTAAGGACTGCTTGATATATAAAAATACTCATGCAAAGAAATCGATTGGTTTTTTGTTAGAAGTACTGGCTAAGTTCCCAACCCCCTCTCTTCATTGTGCGACTATTTGAACCTACCCTCGTATGTTGACCATGCATCTAAGTGGGAAACAAAGCCTTAATTTTGTTTTATGGCTCTCATTAAATATTCTAGACAGCAATTCCTTCATTCAAAACTGGCCTGCGCGACTATGGATATCGTGCAAATCGCATTCATTAACAATATTTTTATTTTTCTTTATCGCCACACTTTTCATTTCTGCAAAAATTTCACTGTTCGCAAACCATTTAAGCTTTCCGCGCAATTTCGATTTACATGTTCATCATTTTCTAATTCAAATAGCGTATATACCTATGTATTTGGTCTTCAAATATGGCACGTAAAACTAAATTTGCTGCCGCCTCTTTTGTATACTTGTCTTTGGCGAATTTCCGAATTGGAAGCGCTTGTACAATTATATAACCAAAAGGCAGACCGGAAGTTATTCACAAATTGTATAAAATAAAATTTGTTGTAAACAGGGGCGAACGCAGGTAGGGGTTTTGGATGTATTTTAAATGTCCGTGAATTACCAAAACAAAAAGTGCTACGCTCCGAATGCATTCTGTAAAAATAACGAACTATTTTAAACCGAAAAATGCTGCCCCTCCGACAGCCGAATTTGCATAAACTAAAGTGATAGCCAAAAAGTCATCTGACGAGTAGCGATAGAACCGCAACCTCCGCAAATTCAGAAAATCGTCCTTAAAATCAATATACGAAATATGCACATCTTTATGTTTTACTGAGACGAAAACGAACAGCAAAGCAAAACAAAATAATCGGAGATGCCATACCTTTCACAATTTTTTTTTTTTAATTAATTTGAAAGAAATCTGAATGTTTCTTAGTGATAGATTTCGGGACCCTCGGGACCCGCGGTCAATTCTGAAAAACGTCAGGATGGGCGGGTTCGGGACTTAAAAATTTAATTTCGGGATGGACGGGAATTATGGACTCCTGGAAAAGCCGTGAGTACCGGATGCTATGAATTCTGACTTTCTCTGTAAAGAATTTGAAATACATAAGCTTGCATGTATGAATTGAATTGAAAGATCGACGCTATTTTTACGACGATTTGTATAGAGATATGTACAGTGGCGAAAATATAAATAGGGCCGCGACATTTTAACAAGTGCTATGTTTCTTTTGTTTATTTGATGTTTATTATTTTTTTATTAAAGTATAGCTCGTTATCTATCATGTAAGTCCGAATTTCAAACTTGGTAAAAAATTAGAAAAAATCGACAAATTCAGCAAAATTTCGAGCTTTGAATTTAGATTTCGTAGATATTTTGAGTATGCAGTTTTTTAGCCCGCTTAATTTTAGTAGTTAGAA